GAACACCGGAGCTTCGTTCTACGGGATTCCCCCGCTACCCCCACGTGTCGCACAGTCCTCGCAGGGGGTGGATCTTGGTTTGCGTGGCATGTCGTTACCACATCGCGTGGCAGCTCAGGAACGAGCATCTAAAGGAGTCATGGGTGGTGTCAACCACGGCTCCAGCCAGGCGACACAGGGAGGGGGACACAGCTTGTTATTGACGAGTTGTGTACCCTCGACCAGTCTAGCAGGCATACCGCCGCGGCCCGAACCTGGAGCCATCCATTCACGCCACTCATCCACGCTCAGTGGGGCCTCTAGTCTTCCCACGTCAGTACGACCGTCATCATCCAGGATGATTTGCACGGCCATGCGCAGTCCACTTGGGATGCCCCCGCTTCTAGCACGACGACCATCAGCCATCCGCGATAATGTCAAGACGAGTCGTGCCGGCAGGAAGAAGAGACAGAGGGAGGACGACAGAGGCGAGGATCCACCCCCCGCACGCCTCAGAGCAGGCACCGGTCGAGCACGTGGCCGCCCACGTGGCTCGGGCAGAGGACGAGGCAAGCAGCAACAATCATGGGCACTGAGTGCACTGGGGGATGCTGATGCAGAGACTGCTGATCTTGGGGAGGGGATCGCTACAGGTGGCGGTGTCTCAGGCGGTATTCATACCAGATCTCAAGTCGCCGGCAGAGAGAGGCAGAAAACCTCTTCTCACGTGGTGGACGATGATCCTGATGGTGATGATCATGGCAATACCTCAGATGAGATGTCCGGCAATGACTACGCGGACGAGACTCGTCAAAGGGGTCAAGCTGAGGGAGGAGACGATAACAACTCCGATGGCACTGGCGAAATGGCAGATTAGAGGGATGTGGTGTCGTCGAGTTCATTCTTTTGCGTGCATGGGGAGTTGTGGCATAGTGGGTCTCAAGAGGTGGATGCAATGTTCATTTGTTGATTGAGAGTGAAGCATTGGTTGCAGCCATGGCGCAGAGAGAGAGAGAGAGAGAGAGAGAGAGAGAGAGAGAGAGAGAGAGAGAGAGAGAGAGAGAGAGAGAGAGAGAGAGAGAGAGAGAGA